GATCCTGGTCCTCTCCCGGTGCAGAGGTCCTGGTCTTTACGTTATGTGTCTGTAGTTGTTGTTTTCTTTCCTTCAGATCTGATGAAAGGAGAACCTGCCCTCGTTCTGGTCGCAGACGCAGAGACGTGGACCTGGATCCTCAAGACTCTGGTAACTACCTCCAAACACAAGTGCTAGTCCTGGTTTAGTTCTGGTTTAGTCCTAGTTTAGTCCTAGTTTAGTCCTAGTTCACATGCTGTCATCTCAGAGGAGTTTACGTCCTGTGTCCTTACTCCTTTTTATCTTTGCTTCAGATCTGATGGAACCTCTTTTATCTCGAAGTCGCAGACGCAGAGACTTGGACCTGGCTCCTCAGGACTCTGGTAACTACCTCCAAACACTGAGACCAACATCTCTCTGAAGGAAACACTTCCATCCATCCATTTTCTTCCCCTTAATCCATTTCTGGGTTGGGGGTGGCAGTCAGAGCTCCAGCCCCTCACTGATCCTCCTGCAAGTGCTGAGTCCACAGGAGCTGAGATCTTTCAGCCGGGGCTTCCGGCAAAGTGGGGTTGAGTGTCTTGCCCAAGGACACAACGACAACAGTCATCAGTGGTAGTCGTGAAATAGGTCTTACGGTGGGCTCGAACCCACGACCTTGAGGCACAAAGGCTAATGCTCTGAGCCACTGTCGCCCCCAACAGGTGGTGGAAGGAAACACTCATTTATTATTATTACTGAGTCTAGTGTTGGGTCTGAGGCTCCTCTGCCCGAGCTGCTGGTTCAGGTTCAGGCCTGGCCTCCAGTTTATGGACCAGGTGGAGGTCTGGGTCATCCTCTCTCCTCTGGGTCCTGTTGGGTCTGGCTCTTGGACCGGGTGGAGGTCTGGGGCCTCCTCTCTCCTCTTGGTCACTGTTTAGTAATGATTGAACTTGGTTTAGTCCTGGTCTGGACCAGATTTAGAACAGGTGTGGTTCCAGTTGTGGAACCTGGATCCAGGACTAAACGTCTGTAACCGTTGTCTTCAATTCAGGGCAGATGGGAGCTGTGCGTCACTGGCAAGCACCTGAGAACAAAGGTGTGTATATGCACACACACACACACACACACACGCACATACAGTACACACACACAGACACACGCACACACACACACACACAGACACACACACAGACACACGCACACACCGACACACAGACACACACACAGACACATGCACACACACACACGCACGCACACACACACACACACACATACACACACACACACACACACAGACACACCACACTTAAACCTTTGTGTATTATTTGTAATGTTTTTTATTACAAATAATACTTGGCTCTACACAAGCTACACTATTTACTTGAGGTATAATGGGAGCTTGGTGTAGAGCCACTGCTCCTCCACACCAAGAGGAACCAGTTGAAATGACAAAAGGAGAGATGAGATTTTGTTCAGACTGTGACACCAACTTTCCAGCATTCTGTTTTCACTTTGTGTTTTCAAGAAATCCATTATTTATCCCTCAGTCTGACCGTCTCCAGCTCCTCTCTGGAGGCGGTCCAGAGGCTGGAACAACACCGCTCCAGGATGGCCAGAGGAATCATTTACAATCCTCAGGGCTCGGTTTAAGAGTCTTCATAAAGAGCCTCCAGAAGGGTCTCAGTTCACAACCCTCCGAGCAGAACCACTTTGATCAGAGCTCTCTTTTCTTTGGCTGTGATGAACCACAATTGCACCAGCATCAGGTTTTCTATGGAGCAGCGGCAGCAGTTCTTCTAAATCTTAGGGTTATTTGTAAATTCCCAACATTTCCGCAGAAAGTATAGAATATCCTTCAGAAAAGAACAGCAAAAAACAGCCGCAGTAAAGTGGGACGCACATTAAAAGCGGGTTGCTTCTTTATGCTGTTACCTACGGAGGGGATAAAAATTCATTAAAAAAAACATGTTTTGCAACTACTTTCACTGCGCACTTGTTCACTGTGATGATGCTTTTTAAACATTGCATTTTGGTTGCTCCACACAGCTTCCTTTTGTTTTGTGTTGTGATAATAAGAGCACTCGCAGAAAGGGTCAACTTTGAGTTTAATCATCACTGGCAGAAGGAACACACTCTGCGATACATCGGTGCTCTCATAGCTAATCATCTCCTAGCCCCCACCACTGCGCATGTGTAGACTAGAGTATGGTAGCTGTGATAGGTCACACTAGCAGCACTCTACACTTTTCCACGTTTATCGTAAGTAACAGCATAAAGGACCAACCCGCTTTCAATGTGCGGACCACTTTACCACAACAGCAATAAGCCGGGCCATGAAAACCCCCTTCTTGTTTTATTTAATAATAATAAAATATACTTTATTGAATATATTTTTAAAACTTTAAAAATTATTTAAAATCATTTATAAGTAGTTTGTTAATTAATTACTGCAGTCCAAATAAGTGTGATTGCTTTTCACACTTTGTTTGTAAGGTGATGACTCTGTGTATCTACTTACTTATCACATGTTTCATGTGATAACTCATCTTATGGTGCTTTCACACCGGATCATGCGTTGCGTCGACTTTCATTGCAAAGTCAATGGTGACATGTATGTGCATCTCGGGATGCACGCACGGACTTTGTGGTAAAGACGCATGAACTGCGCGGCAGGAGCGGAAAATCAACGCACGCAGGAGATAAATATTTCCTGGTAATGTTGGTGAAGAGGATAGCAGGGCCATAATTGGGCATACTAATGATGTTTATGGTAAGTAGGAAAATAATCTTTATCCAGGCCAGATTCACAAAGCAGTTTTCAATTTTGGGCATTAGACTTCTTACTCCACACAGAGATGGGAGCGAGGTGGGTGACAGATTAGTGGTACTGTGAGATTTCATAACACTTTGAGGCAACTTTTGTTAAAGTTAAACTCATCATTCTATCAATGTGCAGAAGCCAGTACTTTTCCCTTGTTGTGTCTATCTGAAGGCCAAGCTACAAGCACAACGTGGAAGCTGCTGATTGGAGGTCTCCATGCCTCCGCTCTGTATAATACACTTGCATTCTGTTGTATCTGTTGATCGTGCTGTCTCTACCATTGACAATAAAACATGTCTTCTGTCTGAATTAAAGACGCGATCCCAGACTATGTCATCTTCTTCAGGAATCTGTTAGGATTTAAGCAGACAGAGACGGATCGTGGTGTGCCAAACTCTGGAAGTTTATTTAAGTTTCTCTCAAGTTCCACTGGTTTACTCTGTTTCTTTCTCTCAGACAGAATAAAGGCAGTACACAGTTTATATAGTCATTGTCACGTCACACATCGAAAGACATACGTGTCACAAAGAGACTGTCACATCATAGTCATAACATGGAGTCCTTGTAGAGTCCTTGTACAGTCCTGCACGTAGGCCATATTGCTATCTAATACTAACACCCTCCCCTTTGATCACATAATCACATGTGATCACTCAATTTGATCAATCAATAAAAAAAAATTCTAAAAAAAACTTTAAAAAATTATTAAAAACAAAGAAAATGTATGCATTACACTCATAATCATCAAATCAATTTTATCCTCTATCCTGGGAAAAAATAAACAAATACAAATCAAAAATAAAAACAAACAAACACTATTGGACACACAAGAACTCAGCAGATTCAGTCAAAACACAGACAAAAACGAGCTGAGTCTCAAATTAGAAGCTAATTTAACTTTAATTACTCTATACTTTTATTCTAATGCTGATTGTTTACACTACACTCAATCTTATTTCACTGTATTATTTTCACTTTTCAATCTTAGACTGTGTACTTTACTTTCACTATTCACTATAGTTTAAAACTATTCTAATCTATTTACAAATATGTTTGCATATTTACTTCTATTGAGCCATATTCTTAAACATACATTTTAATCTAATAAATCTCTCTACACTGTGATTTACTCTCATTATCAGTGGCTTATTATCAGTGGGATTTTGCTCCATGTCTATTCTCATTCTCAGGAATAAAACTGTGAACACAGTAAGGCAAATGGTCAACATTTACACTTCTATAGTGGTCAGTGATTTATTACTTTTTATTATCTCAAGATATTATTGTCAGGCATTTGGGATGAATGTACATCATTAATCAAATTGGAACTATCCTTACAAGAGCTAATCTGTTTTAGCAGGTTTGGGGTTGGGGTCAGTTATTCTACAATGGTGTTTGTGCTGGAAACTTCTCAATATCTAAATATCTACTATTTTGTTTTTGGGCTACACCCAAATGCATCAAAATGCTTTTAAATGCTTTTGAATCTCTGTTGGTTGTAATCTATCTCATTGATCTAGGCATTAATCTAGGCTACACTCATATGGATTTTTGTATTGTCAACATTCACCAATGTTTGAACACAAGTGAATTTGGCAAGTATCTAATAAAACTGTACATAAAACTGTAAGTAACTTTATCTACTTTTGAAGCAAAGGTTTGTGAACCTATGTTGAAGGAAATGGTCCTTTTACCATTTGATATTAGCACTGGCTAAGAATATTCTCTATTTTTGAAAGCATCTATGGTTGATGCATTTATCTAATTCTATTTTTACTCTATAGTGACTCCAAAGCTCGTTTGCAGCTTGAGTCAAGGCATATTCCTAATTTGTGACTTCTGTCACTTTTAACATCTCTAAAATTACTCTGATTCTAATATTATATCTGATCTATCAGAAGGATAACATTGTAGGGTACTATTTTAACTCTTACGTGGAAATATGTTTATGAACAACAAAGAAAGGACAATTCTACTTTTTTACTACTATTTAACATCTACTAAAACGCTACAATACTCATACTTTATCATTTTCAAACATTTTAACAGTTGCTCAGTCTCCCAGACAAAAAAGTCAAAGTTTTTGTCTGTCAAATGTCTGAATACTTAACATGTATATTGCATTTGGTCACAGGTTCTGGTTGTAGCAAGAGCATCGGCAATAGACGGTTTTCATTGGCTGGTTCTTGTTCTGCAAATGGCTGTGTCCAATAGATCATCAGATGTCCAGAAGCTAGGGACAAACAAAAACAAAAGAAAGAATCATGAGTATCTCTCTCATTTAGCACTCATCAATGTATGATTTCAAAAATATAAACATCACTCCCCAGGTTTTTCTTTCTCAGATCCTCAGATCCTCAGGTCCTCAGGGTCCCCTGAGGGTGAGTCTCAGTCGTCATCAGGTCAGGTCATAGAGAGATGTCATCTTGGACATCAGTAGGGTCCAAGCCATGGTTCTGGTTTCTCCAGATGCACATCAGGATCTCCAGATACAGTCTTTTCACTTGAAGCACATCAGGTCATTTGCGATGCACTTCTGGTCAATGGTGCAGTGTCTCAGTTCCTGTACACAGCTTGTTATGCAATAGTTACTTTCTATGGTTAAGTCACTTTGATTCTACTTTAACACAATTTCTATTCATGCTGTTGCTTCTGTCCCTCAGACAAAAGCAAGCGCAATGATTCAGTTTACTTCTCTAATTTGTGTTTTTATCAGATCTAATCCTCATCAATGTAATTACTTCACACAGTACAAAATCAACAAATCAAAAGTGTCAGGACAGAGGTCAATTATGTCCATGACAATATAGAATTCAAATGAACATTTCTGGTCTCAAAAAATACTGATTCAACTAAAGATTCAAGTGATAGACAATTAAAAATGTGTTTACATTGGAGTAAACTTTTAAAATGCTTTTTTCTCATGTTCTGCTTTTTCATGTATCTATATGTAAATATGAATGTGTGAGTGTGTGTGTGTATGTGTGTGTGTGTGTGTAGGGTGGGAATTTTGGGGTCGTGTCTCCAGACTCCTCGAACCACCTGTAGGTCTCAAAGGTCACACTGGCTCGATGTAAACAAGCAAAGTGGGCACACTTCCAGATTGCAAAACAACTCACCCACCACTGCCTACAGAAAACCCCACTTTGTGGCCCCGGTCTCACTGCCACTTACGACCATCGGTCTGTAGTGGGGGAGGGGCACACGGAGGTAGCTATCTCGCCTTTACGATCTGCGGCTGGTTGGATGGTGTCTACTCTGGGCCACTGTTCTGATCCCTCTGTGTCCAGTCCAGCAGTGACCCTTGTACAGTGTGTGCCCTTGGTTCTGGAAAACAACCTTATAGTCAAATTAAAAACAACAGAGATTGTGAATGAGATTGTTTTTCTCTCTGAAGTCAAAACAATTTTGGAGCGCTCTGGGTTTTCTCACATGCGCTATGTAAATAAAGATTACTTATTATCTTACTAATGATGACATTTTTAAAACCAGAAACTCTTTCTTAATAAAAAACAAGACTCAAATCCCTTGAACCTTCAACCTTTAAAATATGTATTATGTACTTTTGCACTGTGTGATTAATTATCTTGAACATTTATCTCAGCATATATTCTACTAATTTAAAATAATTGCAGCATTTTTCAAATGAAGTCAGTATGAATTGGAGCACATTTTAGAGCCAGGCTCCTCTGCTGTGTGCATCAGCAGCAGGAGGAAGGTCAGGTGCATAGTCAAAACAAAAACATCACCGCTTGCAAGGTGAATTGGGTAGTTTAACTTAATAATATAATACTTTTACAGCCTAATTCCCTCTTTCTTTTTTAGACGAAGTCTATAATCAATAATCACTTTTAACACAGATTCTAATTTAAATGTTTGAAAAACGGCTTTTGTAACTAAAATAAAAAATACATGAAAAAATTCTCACTAACAGCTATGAAATATCAGATACAATAATGGACTCAAAAAATAAGCAGCAGATTTAAAAAGAATGGAATCTAGAAATATGTTAGGTCTAAAAAGAATTGCACAGCTTTTAGCACTAATATTTGGGTTTCAAAAACATATAATATTCAAAACTTATTCACTAATGGTGTTTAAAAACGTTTAACTGTGTCATAACACAATGTTCAATGGCAAATTTCGCAAATTTAACGGAATAACAACTATGGAAAGCCAGAAATCCTAAAGCAGTAGCTTTGCTCTGATTCAGAGCCAGAGCAGCGAAGGAGGGGGCCGTTTCCCTGACAACGGCAGCAGATAGAGCGGCACACACAGGCAGAAAGTAGTGTTTTAGCAAAAATGCAAAAACAGAAAGAATAACTTTCAAGATTACTTTGTTAAGCGAATATAACTTGTAGTTTATACTTTTGTCATTTATCAGCCTGAAATTCGTCAATTTCAAAGCTTTTGTAACAAAGGCCTCCTTAACACGTTTCCCTTTTTATAATTACTTTTAATTTTACACCATGGTTTCACTTATGGATCCTCACTTTAATGGCCAACACTTTTCACTTTATGGATCCTATTCACTTTAATGGCCAACACTTTTCACTTTATGGATCCTATTCACTTTAATGGCCAACACTTTTCACTTTATGGATCCTATTCACTTTAATGGCCAACACTTTTCACTTTATGGATCCTATTCACTTTAATGGCCAACACTTTTCACTTTATGGATCCTCACTTTAATGGCCTTTACACTTATTTGAACACAATTTAGAGAGTTCGACAGACCTCAAAAACAGACCCAAATTTAGCTAGTATCCAATTATGCAGACTTTACATTTAAAAAGGTGTCTGCTTACCTTATTCTTGTCAAAGAGGTGCGCACGGGCTGTCCGAGAGGTCTGCCAACTCTTTTCCGCGTCGAAATCTTCAATTTAAAAAAACAAAAGTGACAGAAGCGACAAGAAGCATCCAGGAACAGCTCTTCCAGCCTGCTGGAATCTCCGCTCCCAGACGCAGCATGCCGATCTCTCACGCAGAGGAAAAGAAACAGAGCAAACTCCCTCAAAACAATCCAGAGAATGGCACAAACCGAGCCGCGCATTCTCCACCAAATCTGTTAGGATTTAAGCAGACAGAGACGGATCGTGGTGTGCCAAACTCTGGAAGTTTATTTAAGTTTCTCTCAAGTTCCACTGGTTTACTCTGTTTCTTTCTCTCAGACAGAATAAAGGCAGTACACAGTTTATATAGTCATTGTCACGTCACACATGGAAAGACATACGTGTCACAAAGAGACAGTCACATCATAGTCATAACATGGAGTCCTTGTAGAGTCCTTGTACAGTCCTGCACGTAGGCCATATTGCTATCTAATACTAACAGTACTCTTCCAGCAGCATTCCTGCATAATGTGTCTTGTGACTGTGTGGTGCATTAAAAACAGGTTTGAGATGTTGTGCATTAAAAGTGTATGCTTGAGATGCATGTGGGAAGAGAACTTATTATCAATGGGCCTCATTCACGAATAACTTCGTAAGAAACTACTCAACTTTCTTCTCAAGTTGTCCTTAAGTAGATTTCTAAGAAGTCCCCACGTGGGATTCATCAACGCACTCGTAAGCCGCTGAATTGTTCGCAGCTGTTCTCTCAGATTGATGAATGCCATTTCCTCGTAAGTACAGCGCGCGTGCCAGGTGCTTCATTAGCATAGGTACTTAGCATAAGTAACCGCCCATTAATGCCCATAAAAGGGACTGCAGGGCCGTGTGCAGACGGCAGAGGAAACAGCAACAGGCCTAAAGCAAAGAGTTACACGGAGCAAAAGAGTCACCCTTTTTTCTTCTTTTGCCAGACTGAGAATAAAGTTATAAAATGTTGACTTAAAAGGCGAAATATTATGATAATAAAGTCGAACTAGCAAAATTATGAGATTAATCTAAGAATATGATGAGATTAATCTCAAAATGTTATGAGCTTAATTTAAAAATATATTATGTATTATTTTAAAGATGAATCTCAAAATGTTTTGAGATTAATCTCAAAATATTTTGGACCCTGGGAGGAGATCCAGCGCGGACCAGTGCTGAGACCAATGCAGACCCGAGGAGAGACTGGAGTGACCAGCACACAGAAACCAGCGCGGACCTATAGGAGAGACCGCATAGACTGGAGTGACCTGACTGGAGAGACCGGTGCGCAGAGACCAGCGCGGACCGAAGAGAGACCGCATAGACCAGACTTGAGAGACCAGCGCGGACCCGTATGGATCCAGGAGCATGCAGCACGGACCCGTATGGAGAGAGACCAGTGCAGACCCGTATATGGGAGAGACCAGTGCAGACCCGTCTAGATCCATGGGAGAGACCAGTGCAGACCAGTATAGATCCATAGGAGAGACCAGTGCAGACCCGTCTAGATCCATGGGAGAGACCAGTGCAGACCAGTATAGATCCATGGGAGAGACCAGTGCAGACCAGTATAGATCCATAGGAGAGACCAGTGCAGACCTGTATAGATCCATGGGAGAGACCAGTGCAGGCCCGTCTAGATCCATGGGAGAGACCAGTGCAGACCCGTATAGATCCATAGGAGAGACCAGCGCAGACCCGTATAGATCCATGGGAGAGACCAGCGCAGAGACTCAGCGCGGACCCAGTAACCTCCTGCAGCAGCAGTATATATGCCGTTGTTCTGTGGCCCGTGGATAAAGAAATGCCCCCTATAAATAGGAAGGGGTCACTAATACACGGCAAGATTTCCAATGTATTTGATAAAGCGTTGGCACATTTCATTTCAAAATGAATTAAAAAGTAGGCCAGATCTGCAGTGAAAAAGGCGGTATATAAATAAAGATTACTAATAAAGATTACTACAAATAAATAAATACATACATCGATATGACTGACATATCACTGGAATGTTGTATTTTTATTCAACTTCACCAAAGAGGACAACCCCGGCGTGTGAACATGTCGGCACTGAATGCGTACGAGTGCTCCTGAGGACTCGTAGGATTTGTACTTGCCCAAGAGAAATTCTGGTTACGAGAAATATTCGTGAATGCCACTTTCTTCGTAAAAACCGCGTAAGTAGGATTTACGTACAAATCTGTTCCTAAGAACCGTTCGTGAATGAGGCCCAATGTTTTTTTGTTTTTTTTTGTTTTTTTTTATTAATTCCTTCATTATTAGGTCCGAGCATGTCCAAGCTACGGGCGTGGACGAGGAGGGAACACGCAGAGCATGTTCCCAACATTTACTTACTTTTCAAATGTAGCTGGTGTGCGGCCTTATAAAGGTAACGTTTAAATTTGTTTATCCATTTTTTTTCTCTTTCTTATCTCCATTTGGCACTGGCTGTAGATTCGTTTGACAAAATATCTGAATTAAAGCTAACCCAAGTCCTTTTTATTCATTCATTATAATAAAAAAATGTACTATTATATTCCATTTACTGTTCTTGTTTGGCACGACAACAATAAAAATGGTACTGAGATGCACTGTGCAAAGACACAATAGAATATAAAAAATATAACCCAGAAGGTGTTTTTTCCCAGTGCGTGAGTCCCACCTGCTTACAGCGTCCGGACTGAGACAGGGTCCACGGGCTCTGGTCCATGTGTGCCACCAGCTCAGCCTCCTCCTCTGCTGATATGAAGTCCTCCCACAGGAACACTCCATGCAGATCGAAGCCCTCGTCCTCTCCATCTCTGGATGTGGCCCGGCCCTTCTCTGTGTCATAGACAAAGTGACGCACAACCTGCAGACGTGCAACCACACAATCACATATCCACAGTAGTGCAAGGAGCTCAGGGAGAGTTCACAAAGCTAGAGGCTAAAGACGTGATCAGTCTCTTAGGGTTTTTTGAAGCCTAAATAGTTCCAACATAAATAATAGCTAAACATCTATAACCCTAAGATGGGGTACCTAACTTTATTTTGGCATATGGACAAGTCTCTCTATGGCCTCACACCAAAGTACAGCAGAGACGTTATAGTGCCATGAGAACCAACTCGGACTCTGAGGAGCACAGGGACTGGCCTCCTGCTGGGACTCTGAGGAGCACAGGGACTGGCCTCCTGCTGGGACTCTGAGGAGCACAGGGACTGGCCTCCTGCTGGGACTCTGAGGAGCACAGGGACTGGCCTCCTGCTGGGACTCTGAGGAGCACAGGGACTGGCCTCCTGCTGGGACTGGCCTCCTGCTGGGACTGCCCTCCTGCTGGGACTGCCCTCCTGCTGGGACTGCCCTCCTGCTGGGACTGCCCTCCTGCTGGGACTGCCCTCCTGCTGGGACTGCCCTCCTGCTGGGACTGGCCTCCTGCTGGGACTGGCCTCCTGCTGGGACTGGCCTCCTGCTGGGACTGGCCTCCTGCTGGGACTCTGAGGAGCACAGGGACTGGCTTCCTGCTGGGACTCTGAGGAGCACAGGGACTGGCCTCCTGCTGGGACTCTGAGGAGCACAGGGACTGGCCTCCTGCTGGGACTCTGAGGAGCACAGGGACTGGCCTCCTGCTGGGACTCTGAGGAGCACAGGGACTGGCCTCCTGCTGGGACTCTGAGGAGCACAGGGACTGGCCTCCTGCTGGGACTCTGAGGAGCACAGGGACTGGCCTCCTGCTGGGACTCTGAGGAGCACAGGGACTGGACTCCTGCTGGTCCCAGAGTCAGGACTTAACATGAGGAGGCAGTGTTTCAGACAGTCTTCTTTTCCGACAATAATGTTCAAATCCAGGTTAAATCAGGACTGTTTCGCTGTGCTACAACAGAAGGATTGTATTTTCCTTCTTATAAATGTACTGTGATTATAATGCCTTGTTTGATTGTCTACATCTTTTGTTGTTAAGCAATTTGAATAGCCTTGTGTCTGAACTGTGCCATATAAATAAAGGGGTCTATTAATAGAATGGCACAAACCTTCGCCTCCTCGGTCTCGGCTCTGGCTCCTCTCTCACACAGCAGACAGCACCGTGCGCCTTTACACGCACACACCGGAGCACACACCGGGGGACAGACCGGTGGACAGACCGGAGCACACACCGGAGCACAGACCGGAGCACACACCGGGGGACAGACCGGAGCACACACCGGAGACGTGTTTACTGCTGGGACACCGCAGGCCGCCATGACACTATCACGTCACAACTCGGCGCCACTTTATTAAAAAAAAGTAAATAATTCTATGAAACAGACGTAGGTACACACAAAAAGAAGATAGACACATGGAAAAGTAAAAAATTAAATAGAACGCTGACGTCAAAGCCATAACATAAGCTTCGGATTATTTTTTATTTTTTTTAATAACTTTTACGCATCTTGTCTTATCTTAAATCTACGTGGCGATAAATTGAGCTCAAAGTCAGAAGGAGGTAAAAAAAAAGGAATGTTCAAATCTAGGTTTATCTGGGCACACAACTTTTCGTTTTATGTCGTTTTTTTAAGCACGGTGAGTTGCCTTGTATTTGAACTGTGCTTTATTCATCACTGTGCTATACAAATAAACTTTCTGAGTTTCGTTTTGATTTTTCTCCGTCCTCGACTTCAGCGTCACCTTCTTGGAGGCTAACCAGGAGATCTAGAGGACTGTTAACAAGACTAGCGTGAAATCAACAACCATATTCAATGATCCAGGTGACACAAATACTTACAGATCAGAGACACAAAATCCCCGCCAGAGAAACAGCGTACACTTTTTCACTTAAACATCCATGAACTGATCCTAATTGTCCTCTCTGTCTCCTTTCTCTGTTCTCTCTGTGTCCTCTCTGTGTCCTTTCTCTGTGTCCTCTGTGTGTCCTCTCTGTGTCCTTTCTCTGTGTCCTCTGTGTGTCCTCTCTCTGTGTCTTCTCTGTGTGCTGTCAACCACATTCATTCCCATATTTCTCTCTCCACACAGGGGTCTCTCTCTCCCTGTCCTGATGGTGGCGCTCTCTCCTCTCTCTGCAGGGGTCTCTGTGTCTCCCTCTCCCTGTCCTGACGGTCTCTCCCTATCTCTCTCACTCTCCACAGGGGGTCTCTCTCTCTCTCTCTCTCTCTGTCCTGATGGTCTCTATCTCTCTCACTTTCCACAGGGGGTCTCTCTCTCTCTCTCTCTGTCCTGATGGTCTCTCTCTCTGTCTCTCTCTCTCCCTCTCCACGGGGGTCTCTCTCTCTCTGTCCTGATGGTCTCTCTCTCTCTCTCCACAGGGGGTGTCTGGATCGCTCTTCCTTACCTCCTGATGGGAGGTCTGACCGTAGTGACTGGGATCTTGAGCCTCCTGCTGCCGGAGAGCCGCGGTCTCCCTCTGCCCGAGACCATGGACCAGATACAGACGTTCCGCTGGTAAGAGACTTAAAGCTGCACTAACTGACTTTATTTTTGTATTCATTACAAAAATTTAATCCATATCCATGCAGTGCATTGGGACATACTGTACGTCCTTTTGAAGAATAAGTAGAGCAGGTTTGTGCTGGCATGACATTATATTGTAGATCGAGTTTTGGGGAAACAAGAAAGAGAATGTGTTTTGGGTCTCAGATTGTGACCAATCACAGCGGACCGCTGGCCCCCACTTTCTTGAGAAAAGCCACAGGTCTCTGGTTAGCACCATGGATGTATTATAATAACTGGATAGGGTATTACTAGCTTGTAGCTGAATAACTCATGTGCTCAGGGGATTCTCGCGGTACTGCAGACTGAACCAGACTAAATTCACGCGGGCTACCCAGACATTTTCCCCATAGAACTCAATGTAAATTAAAACAGCTCGACCTCAGCTGACAGGGAACCTACAGCTTTAATAAAGATCAGATTTTGTGGGGATTTTAGTGTCCCTTGTCGTCCTGAACTTTTTTTCTTCTTAAATCCTTCGGCTTTGTTTAAATCCACACTTTAGTGCCACAAACTCTGCTCGTCTGGCTCTCGCTCTAACTCCCGCTCTGATGAACTGCTCTGATTGGTCAGAGCGCGGCCGAGCCCCTCTGTGCACGTGCGTGAGACCTAATGTGAGACCCACACACGCGTGTTTGACGCAACGCATTATGGGAGATCATCCACTGCGCAGAACCGGGAGGACCAGACGATGCCCAAATACAGGCGAGTTTCCCATAGATCTTTGCGAGTTTCCCAAAGTTCTTTGCGAGTTTCCCATAGATCTTTGCGAGTTTCAGGCAACTTCCGCTAATCTTTTCTTTTTTTTTTTTTTTTTTTTTTAAACTTGGGGATTGTACAATTGAGGCAAATCAGGTTAATCAGACACATACGAATAGGATACAGACATTTCTACAACATAAGTAATTTAGACATAGAGGCACAAATTTCTATTGCAATGGCAGATTTAAGCAATTTTAACGAGGAATAGTAGATTCTGAAATCATTCAAAAAATGATTGAAACAGGGGCTTGACTTTCTCCATTTGCTACAATGAATATGGTATTTGGCTAATAGAAAAAATCTAAATCTTTGACAAAATAAAATATGTGACACAATTCAAAATCAGGAAGATCCAAAATCTTTAAGGAAAGCCACTCTCTGATGTCACTCCAAAATTTACGAGAGACTGAACAGGTGAAAAACAAATGCTCCAAGGTTTCCTCAGGACAATCACAAAAAGTACAGCCTGAGTTTTCATACTTAAACCGTTTATAAAGAAAATTGGACACTGGATAAATTTTGTGGCAAATCTTAAAGTGAGTTTCTTTGACTTTTGGTGGAATTGGCCATTTAATGTACTTGGAGAAGGCCTCATTCAGTAAAACAGAAACTTCATTGATAAAAACTACCCTATTGTATCCATGATAAAGACAAGATTTGAAAGCATCAGTTACAACTTTGTTATGGCATTTCTTATCGACCAAATTTAGATTGTTTAACAGCAAACTCGGCAATGTTGGAGTGACAGTGGAGTGAACTTGAACATTACGGATCAGATGAATCAAGGCTGCAGGGATGGCTTTGCAGACTTTATGATAATCTCGATGTGTACAATATAAATTAAACCGGTTGACAAAAATGTTGTGCTCCAATAGCTCTCCATTACTGTCTAAGACATCAGTTACAAACATGACCCCTTTATTAAACCACTCTGACTTAAAAATTGATTTTCTACTAATAAGAATAGATCTGTTATTCCACAGAACAGATCCATGAGGGGTGAAATTGTGCTTGAAGACCATTTTCCAATAATGTAATAATTGGCTGTGGAATTTTGATAGAGCAAATGGGATTTTATTTAACTCAAAATCACATCTCAAAAAAAAATCTAGACCCCCGAATTTGTCAAAAATAGCCTTAGGGATATGAAACCACATACTAGCTGGTGAAGAGAAAAAAGCTTTTAACCAACTGACTCTAAATGATCCAATCAGTGGTTCAAAGTCTAATGCTTTAACACCACCATTACAATATTCTTTAACCATGGTAGATCTTTTCAAGTAATGTGCTTTGTTCCGCCATAAGAACTGGAAAATAATTGAGTTGGCTTTCTTGATGTTTCTATTTGAAATGAAGAGAGTATGACAAGGATAAATTAGTCTTGATACACCCTCTGCCTTAGACAAAAGAACTCTTCCAAAAATGGTAAGATCCCTTGTAAGCCAATGATTTAGAGACTTTTTCATATCAACGATACGTTTCTCTATGTTAAGCTCTTCCATTTTCTCAACATCTCTAGTAATAGTTAATCCTAAATATTTGATTTTAGATTTAACATTAATGGAGTTGATAGAGCTCTCATGACAAGCATGGATTGGAAACAGTTCACACTTTTTAAGGTTAAGAGACAAACCTGATGCCTCCGAAAAGGCACCAATCAGATTTAGAGCAACACTCACCATCGTCTTGTCTTTGAGGAAGAGAGCTGTATCGTCTGCAAACTGGCTAATCTTGAATTCTTTTTCAAATATTTGGATTCCTTGCAAATTTGGATTATTCATTATTGCTAAAGTAAGTAATTGTGTTGTTAATATGAACAATTTTGGAGAAATTGGACAACCTTGGCGGATTCCCCTTGACATTTTAAAGCTAGGAGTCACAGCTGAACCTAAAGAAACGGAGCTACTTATATCTGAATAAAACAAAAATTATCCCCAAAACCTAAAAATTTCAGTGTTTCAATAATAAAGCGATGTTCAAAGGCTTTATAGAAATCAAGGAATAATAGTAAACTTTCGTTTTCTCTAAATTGGCGATAGTCTATCATGTCTAAGATCAGTCTTGTGTGAAAGTGTATATTCCTTCCCTTGATAAACGCAGATTGACATTCACTAACAATATCAGCTAGAGCTCTATTCAATCGGTTGGCATAGACTAGGGCCAATAATTTATAATCAGTACACAACAGCGTGATTGGTCGCCAATTATCAATTAAAAGAGGGTCTTTATTAGCTTTGGGGATCAGAGTAATAAGGCCACGTTTCATAGTGGGTGAAAGATTTTGGCTTGTAATACATTCACTAAGGGCTTTGAATACTAATTGACAAATATCAACCCAAAAGAAAATAAAAAATTCAGCAGTCAGGCCGTCGAGGCCAGGTGACTTCCCTTTGGCCATTTGATGGATTGCTGTATCAAGTTCTTCAATAATCAAATCATCTTCCATATCACTTTTAAATTCATCCTTAATTTTTCCTCCTACAGATTTGATTGAATCAAAAAAGGATTTACAGCTCGGCTCAGAGAAATTTGTGTGGTATAGTTTGGAATAAAAAGTAAAGATTGATTAATTAATTTTGTCTGACTCTTCAGTAATGACACCATTTATATTTAATTTAGAAATTCTCTTTTTGGATTGTCTATGTTTCTCAAGACTAAAAAAATACAAAGTATTCTTTTCACCTTCCTCAATCCAGCGAGCCTTAGACCGAACAAAAGCACCTTTAGCCTTCTCTAAGAAAAACGTATCAAGTTGGTTTTTTAGAGTCACTAGTTGTTCTTTTTCTTCATTTGATAAACTATCTTTAGCACACATGAAATTAATTGCAGTGATAATTTCAGTTTGTTTGGCTCTTTTCTGTTGAGCAGAGAGTTTTCCAGTCTTAATTGCAATTTCTTTTACTTTGAATTTAAACCACTCCCACTTATTCAAGGGTGTTAATTCAAGGGAGTTTATTTCAGCAATGAGATATTTAACTTTCTTTGCAAAAAAGGT